CATTCCTGCAAGTTTCATCAGGATCAGACAAGAAATGCCAAAGTTATAGCCTGCTTCGACCTTCCCCATTATAGCCTATGGGGAAGTCGAAGCAGCTCCAATATTTGACTGAGCTTTGACCTCGAGTCCAAGCGGACCCGCTTTGACTGAAAGTGGACGGCAAATCAAAGTGGGACCCGGTTTAATATTCAACATGGCTGTCAAATCGAATATTACCTGCTCTGCACAGCCCTACTGCTTTTCTTAGTCTACTGCAGGGGTGGGCAAGATGCGGCCCACCAGGCCATTCTATCCGGCCCGCGGGGACCCTAAAAAATTTAGAAAATTAATATTTATCTGCCCCGGCTGCCATCACACGGCCCTCAGTGGCTTGCCAAAGCTCAGGAAGCTGCCCTCTGCTCAAAATAATTGCCCACCCCTGGTCTACTGTGTGCTATGAACCTCCTCATTACAGGGAGCCAAGATCACTAAAATGCAATTGCTGCTGAAGACACCATTTCCTGTGCTTATTTTTCACAGCACTAGCTGATCAGGAAAAATATAGAAGTAAACGGTAATGTAGCCCTGCTACCCTTCTCTGACTTAAAGATCATAAAATAAGAAGTATTCAGCAATTTACATCATCCCCCCAAAAACTGATTTATCTAAACCATGGTTCACTGTGACCTGTAAAAGCTTCAAAAGTTGAAGTAATGTCACCTTTAGATGACAGCCCAGCATCAACCAGTGAGCTGCTCTGATACTGTAGCATCATTCTCTGAGGTTATTATCTCCTTTATGTATGCAATGATATAAAAGCCCTCTCAGGCCTTACAACCCAGAGAAGATCACAGATCTGCTGCAGTGGTATTCACTACTAGTAGCTGGAAAACTAAGATCTTGTGACATTTCAGTTTCCCAGGAGAAAAAAAAAAAGAAAAATGGGAAGGCCCCCTCCACCCCACACACCTGTGAGAAATCCTGGTAAATGCTGAACATGTTTTTAAAGAAGTATTATAGTCTCTCCAAAAGTCATACTGTCAATTCCTGGATTGTTTTTCAACTGGCAAAAATGGGAGATATAAAGTGCTAGGAGAAAAGAGAAATCTCTCTTTATACTTTGCTATTTCACAACTGGAAAATATGGGGGTCAATAAGAAAGAGGTGGAAAGTGGGAAGAACCCATAATTTTGAAGCAAAATATATTGGAAAATGAAAAAAATATATATCAAAACCCAAATTGTCCCATAAAAACATTTACGTTTTCAACAAAATTCTGATTTCCAAAATAAAAAAGCCCTTCGTCCTTAACTCGACATCCATCTCAAGAGGTGGGGTGGGTGGCTTCTTAGCTGGTGAAAGTCAACGTACTTCTATTTATTTCACTGGTGCTATGGTGGTTTACACCAGCTAACCTAGCCTTGGCTTAGTAAGAACATTTCCAGCTCATACCCAACACGAGGATACCAGGTTTGGAGACTATAGAAGGAATCGACAGAAGCAGTAGTGGAACGTATTTAATATTGTCTCTCCAAATTGTTTTGACTAGGAGACAGTGAACTTCACATAGACCTCAGAGATTTTGACAGCAACCCTCATTTCGCCAAATACAAATCATTCACAATTTTGGGAGAGACTGAGAAATACAAACTGATCCTTGGGGATGTTGGTGGTGGTAACGCAGGTAAGATGTCATGTTCTCTACCTTCCAGAGCAGAGGAAAATTCTGCAGAGCCAAAGAAACATCAGAAAACTTTTTTGTGGCAAGAGTAAATTGTGTTCTTCTTCACTTGCAGCTGGAGAAGTCCCCATTTGCTCTGCCTTCCTATAAGGGAGCCAGGGGTACATTTAACAGATGCAGTATAATATCAAATCCAGCAATAGGTGACAGGCAGCATCATGCCAACTATGATATTTCCCTTGGATGACAAACCTCTTCTTAGTCCATAAGCATTATAATACTCTGTAAAGAGGAGGCAGAAGGAGCAAAACTCCCCAAACTCACTCCTTACATGAGGCCTGATTAAGAAGCCTTGCTTATAACTAACTGAGGCCCTTTTTCAGCTGGTCACTTAAGCATTAGTAATACCTAACTGGTCTAGTAATTTTCCTTTGGGGATCTTTAAGTACTTCACCATGGAGAACTGAATCCGTGCTCCATTTTACAGATGAGGAAACTAAATAGAAGGGGCTTGCCCAAGCAAACAGGGACAGAACCAAGAGTCGAGCTAAGGTCTCCTACTAGGTCCCAGTCTGATGCTCTAGTCACAGGTCCACACATTCTCTCTTTGTGCAATGAAAAGGTGTAGATTTTATTCACCCTCCTCCTTCACAAACCCAGAATGCAATAGCAGTCTGTTTCCTGTGTTGCAAAGGGTTCCCAGTTCCTAGTGAAACGAAAAATGGATGAGCAGGATTGACCATATTCAAAGCACTGAGCAATAACCTATCCAAAAATAAATACAAACAAGAACTGTTTTTCCACAGGGGATTCACTGAGCAGCCACAAAAACGTGGTGTTTACAACCAAAGAACGCAACAATGACTCACATCCTGACAACTGTGCTGTATCCTTCAAGGGGGCCTGGTGGTACAAGAAGTGCCACCTCTCTGTAAGGGAGAGAGAGAGTTGGCGGGCCCCGCATCTCCACACCCACGCAGAGCCCTGCTAATCACCCACCCACTGGCGCCAGTGGTGGGGCGGGAACTTACCTTCCCCAGGTGTGCGGGGAAAGGAGGAGTCAGTACCCATGGGACCGGCATAAAAGAGATGCCGAGGACGACCGGAGGATAGGGCGGGGCTGTAGGGGTGGAGGAGGCCTCAACGGGGTGCCCCAACCCCAGCCCCAGGGTGGGCGATTATTGGGAGGAGCCCCAGTGGGGCATGAGACCCAGGAAAGGGGTCTGGGGGCCAGGTAAGGCTGAGGCTGCCTGAGCCCCAATTGGGAGAAGCCCAGTGAGCGTAGGACCCGAGGAAGGGGTCTGGGGGCCAG